TATGTATCATTCCTTGTCAACTATAACTACCAATCATCAAAATTATCAACCTTGGATCATCATTCTCCGAACATTCACCTTATTTTGTCTTTGAGGTTGAAGATAACGTAATGAAGAAATACTTGTCTACCAATTTCAAATATTTTTCAACTTTTTAAATAGTGAACAGGAAGAAGCCAATTCCATAACGGCAAGACTCATCTAGTGCAACATGTGCTTTGAATGCCATCACCTTCAGAGAATTTCAAAATGCGGAAAATTAAAAGGCTGAAATTGAATCAGGCAGATAATCAATCTTTGTTTAAAATTATTAAATGATTTCGAGTTATATAAGTTAATCATGGTTGTACAAGTTAATCATCTGTGCATTTATTTCGTCTCAAAATTTAAAAAAAAAAAAAAATTTCAGCTCAGTTTTTATGAAATTCCCAATGATATAAACAAGCACCGAATACAGATAAAACATAAATCAAAATCTATGAAGAGAAAATTATTCCTTCGAAATAATTCTATTAATGTCTTTTTCAAACATCTGTACATACTGCTTATTATTAAACCAATATTTTTAATCTTATAACTGATAAAATAACTAAATGCGACATATGAACACTAGAACGTATAGTTCAATGAAGCATTAATTTAAACCATGATAACATCAACAATTAAAACCACTCTTAAACTCCTCATTGTTGGGATGAGATTCAAAAGAGAGATGTAATAAAACCGAAACGATCACATATTACATAAAACAAGGGACTTAAAGCATTTGTTACCTAAAGTATTTCCTATTTTATTAACATCAAACTAGCTTAAATATATTAATTTTAGAAATTTTGATACCTATGTGGATGAGATAGGAAATCCACACTACTTTGAAGGATTCTGATTTAAATTAAGCAAACATTATCTGAATCCATTTTGAAGCATTCATAACAAATACAAACTATATAATAATATAAAGTATGACATACAACCTTACTCTACATTTTAAGCGCCTTCTCTCAGCTATATGAAAATGCAAAAGAAAAAAAAAATGTATTAAAGATAATGAGAGATCAACAACAACAACGATATCTGTAGTCATTTACATCATAATATCTTCCATTTCGTGCTATTTGCTCGTGAGAATGCATTCTGCCAAACAAATGCTACAAGAGAAAGAAATGAGAAAAGAGTCACAGGCGTCCCTGAAATTCAAAAAAAATTTACTACAGTTTTAAGAAAAAAACAAAAATATATATGACAAAAATGTGTATTTTCTGACATCAGTTCAAAACTTTATAACATGTTTCTAAATTGCGGTATAGGCTACAATCTATAGTGCTACTATTTTGTTATGTAAAAGGTCCTACCTTCAGTAATGTTATTACCACTAATCGGCACCGAAAAATTAGGAATATAGAGCAGAAAGTTGAATGGCCAAAAATACGTAGAATTAATATATCCAATTATAACATTACGAGAATAAAACATTAGCAAAACGGCTGTCAATTGCACGAATATTCCACTAACAACCAATGACAGTGTAGATGCTATGCCGGAATTTTTCTCGCGTTCCATAACTGTCAATAATTGAGGTAAGTAAATTATTAAAGTAGCGATTAATTGAGGTAAAAAAAAATTATTAAAGTTAAAGTAAAAAAAAAATATTAAAGTTTTTGTTTCAACTAAATCCACATATAATTCTCGAAAAGTCAACCCGTTCGCAGCTGCAGTTATTCTGCTGGTTCTAAATAGCCTTGAGTTACTTAAATTTAAATAGTATTATTGAATTTGTTCTACAGTTGTAATCATGCCGGACTATTAAATTTCAGCTAAAGAAAAAGTATGCTTCATCAGGAAGAGGCTTACTTAAAGCACTCAGTTCAGCCGATAACTGATTCAAAACTCGTTCCTTTCTAAAATAGGCAGCAAACTGAGCTGTTGGTGAAAGTGCACCCATTTCTGATTTTATTTGCTTCACCTCCAAAGCCAAAGTCTCAATTCGATGATCCATTTCATTACGGTAAATCCTTCGAGGTAGCAAACGTTTCAACTAAAAAAATAAGAACTAAAATCTTTCTTATACTCTTCTGAAACTTTAATCGATTCTTCTTCATTTAGCTAGCAGTTTACAAATGATATTTTAAAGATAACCTCTAAATAAAAAGCTAGCCTTTGTTGCAAGCCACTGTGTTAATATCATCCAATACGCAAATGTAAATACTGCAACAAAGCATGCCAAAACACCAAATTTGTTAGCAATCAATTGACTTACTATATCATCGATTGCAAAGCAAGCCATATAATCTGCAAACAGAACATTTTCGATCGTTTTACTTTACTTTGCATAATGTAAAAATCAATCGTTTTCTGAAATGACAACAAAAAATGAGGAATTGCTCGAAATTATTGTAAAAGTATTCCCATCTATTTCATTATTTCCACATTACTTAACTCTGACAAATAGCTTCGAAATCATTTAAATCGTATGCATTTCTGTTTTCTTGCCTCCCTGCTTCTCCGCATCGTACTCACAATAACCGCTAAATCAATAAGCTCGTCACTAATCAAAAATGGAATCTGTCAAGTACCATTGCTCGTAACAAATTCCCGAAACACTTCCTTCCGGAATCCTTCAAATCCGGCTGACCATACCACATGAACACCCAAATCTACAATATCCGATGCTACAGTTTCAGAAATGAGAAGTAACCATTAATACGGCCGCGATATGTATATGAGCGATCCCATGAAATTAAAAAATAAGAAAAACAAACATATGAATATGTATTCGCTACAACTGTACTTCTTATCAGTGAATATTTTTCTTGATAAAATTGATATCAGTTGAGAGTAATATTCACCCATTGGTGCATTATATTTTAATAATTATAATTTCCGAATTGATCTTTCAGTAACAGTTAATTTTCTCATCTTTATCTTCTAAATTATTTCTCTTCTCTGATAAAATTCATGGCTATTTTTACTGATATGATATACTATGATAACATCATATGTAATCCTTTCTTCATACAAACATTTTCTTTCATCAACGAATAAATTTTATTTAGCAAAAAATAATAAAAACTTTTGCAATTAAAAAAATTTATGATAGAAAACAAAAATTAATTCTACGATAGACTATAATGGTCTTATTGCCATGCTGAAAATAAATTTTAATAATTTTAGTATCTTTCTATGTGTGTATTACTTTGTTTTCTTAAATTTTATTCTTTTTCATTCTTTCATTTTATCATTTCTTTTCTTTTTTTTTTTTCTTAAAATGAAAGTAAAATGGAAATAAATTAATTTCTAATTAATTTCTATCAGTGTTATGCCTGAATATTTCTCTGCCTTACGCCCAAATGTTTACTTTTTACAATAACAATTGCAAATGCAAATTTTTATTATCGAATTCATACTAAATTCATTGCTCATTTTCATTTGTTGAATATTCCTACTGAAATTTACCTTTACCTGAAATTTACCTGAAAATCATAACATCATTTACTCTCCGTTAATATACGCTTGTCAAGGTCACATAATCTACATAATTTGCACGCAAAATATTTTTTAGTAAGGTCACGTAATCTGCATGCAAAATATTTTTCTTTTAGCAAGGTCACGTAATCTGCATGCAAAATATTTTTCTTTTAGCAAGGTCACGTAATCTGCATGCAAAATATTTTTCTTTTAGCAAGGTCACATAATCTGCATGCAAAATATTTTTCTTTTAGCAAGGTCACGTAATCTGCATGCAAAATATTTTTCTTTTAGCAAGGTCACGTAATCTGCATGCAAAATATTTTTCTTTTAGCAAGGTCACGTAATCTGCATGCAAAATATTTTTCTTTTAGCAAGGTCACGTAATCTGCAAGCAAAATATTTTTCTTTTAGCAAGGTCACGTAATCTGCATGCAAAATATTTTTCTTTTAGCAAGGTCACGTAATCTGCATGCAAAATATTTTTCTTTTAGCAAGGTCACGTAATCTGCATGCAAAATATTTTTCTGCAAAGCACGTAATCTGCATATTTTTCTTTTAGCAAGGTCACGTAATCTGCAAGCAAAATATTTTTCTTTTAGCAAGGTCACGTAATCTGCATGCAAAATATTTTTCTTTTAGCAAGGTCACGTAATCTGCAAGCAAAATATTTTCCATTACTTACTTTATTATTTTATTATAAATTAATAATTAATTCGTTTTTCACATTAGACAATTATAAGAGAAAAAGAAGTACTTGAAATCCTTCTTACCTATTTGTGAGTAAATCGATTAATATAATATTTATGCAAACAAATAACAGGTATAGGTACAGGTGCAGGTACAGGTACAGGTACAGGTACAGGTACAGGTACAGGTACAAGTACAGGTGCATATATTGAGTTGTAATGATTTGATAAAGAAGCTAAATTGGTGGATGAGAAGAAAATATTTTAATTTCAAATGTTTCATATGCTGAACAATGACACTAAAATATAATTAATTATAAGCCATTTTCTTTTCCTAACAATTTATTTGATTATTTTGTCACATATTTAAGATTTATTTTGCAATATAAATTTTAATGAAATGAAATGAAAAAAAAAAGCACAAAGAATACATAACAATATGTGTAGAATTGGCCGAATTATCTGAGCTTTCTAAACTCTATGATAATTTACATTTCAAATTTATCACTTTGTCTTCTAGCTAAAAACTAGTTTGTTATCACTGATATGCCATTTTGATAAAGGAAAGAAAGAATAGCGCAAAGCTTAAGTTAAGAATATATCAAGTAAAAGTATAAACTTCATTAATTTATAAATTTGATAAAAATGTTAAACTGTTGATAAATTATTTGCTTATTTGTAATGCTTATCAAAATAAAGCTAAGCTATCCAAGATTACAGCTTGCAAATTAATCCAAATCAATTTGATAATAAATATCATTTGCATGAAGTAATTTATGATAAATGATAAATCACTGATATCACATTCGTTTTCAAGCTTTTGCTTCTCTTCCTACCTGATTTTGATCAATTATCAATCACGGTTTGTTTGTCATTGCCTAATGTGACATTCATCATATTTAACTTTCCTGAAATGTTCATCGAAATTCAGGACAATTTTTATAAAAGTTTTATTCAGTATGTAATTAGTATTAATAATGCATCACTCATTTTGCTAATCATTCAAATTAACAAACTTAACTGTGTTACGGTTCTTTTTTGCCGTTCTCTTCTTTCTTCCCGGATTGCATCCTGATAACCTTCCCGAAGTTGTTCCACAATGAATAAAACAATTTTTGTCCATCCGGTTTGTGTTGTCTTATTCCGATCCTTTTTTTCACCCCATTCTAATGTTCGTTCAATCATTGCTGATGCGAAATGATCGAAATGAATTAGACGAAATGGACAGCCAATTAATTGTGTATTACTTTTATTGTCAACTGGAAATGTATCAACCGGAAATTGAAAATTACGAATGCTTTTTGAAAAATTTAATTATTTGATTTTTCAAAAATTTTCAACTTATTTCTTCTGCTTGAAGCATTGTGAAGTTTTTTTTTTTTTTTTTTGTTAAAGTAAACTTTAACTTTGTACTTATCAGTTAAATTAATACAATTTTATAAGTATTAAATATAAATTAAAAAATTTTATTTCTTTTTTGCATAAAAATTTAAATTTTTTATAAACAAACATTTGGTGCAGTTATCACGAAGTAAACAGAGATGTGCTCGTCCAGCTTTTCGTAATTCTTCAATTATAATTTCTTTTGCTTCCAGTCCAGTTATCAAACGATCCATAATATCAGTGAAACTTTTCGCATGTTTCTAATAAATAAAAAAAAAATCCTTTTGATCTTATCACTATCACTATCACTATCATTATCACTATCACTATCATTATCACTATCACTATCATTATCACTATCACTATCATTATCACCATCACTATCATTACCACTATCACTATCATTATCACTATCACTATCATTATCACTATCACTATCATTATCACTATCATTATCACTATCACTATCGTTATCACCATCATTATCACTATCATTATCACAATCATTATCATTATCACTATCATTATCACTATCACTATCACTATCATTATCACTATCATTATCACTATCACTATCATTATCACTATCACTATCATTATCACTATCACTATCATTACCACTATCACTATCATTATCACTATCACAATCATTATCACTATCATTATCACTATCACTATCATTATCATTATCACTATCACTATCATTATCACTATCACTATCATTATCACTATCACTATCATTATCACTATCACTATCATTATCACTATCATTATCACTATCATTATCACTATCACTATCATTATCACTATCACTATCATTATCACTATCATTATCACTATCACTATCATTATTACTGTCACTATCATTATCATTATCACTATCACTATCATTATCACTATCATTATCACTATCACTATCACTATCATTATCACTATCACTATCATTATTACTATCACTATCATTATCACTATCATTATCACTATCACTATCATTATCACTATCACTATCATTATTACTATCACTATCATTATTATCAACTTAAATGTGGAAACAAAGAAATATTTTGTATTGTTAGCTTATAAAATAAGAATATATGTATTAGCTTAAATGGTCAAATATTTTGTAACCTATGCTAACTAATATTCTCTAAAAAAAAAAAATTTGATTAGAGTATTAATTATTCAAATTATCAATTTTTACATTTTCATATTTTTTAAATTCTACCTTCAATCGTTCATAACCCATATTTTTAGATCCATCCATGATCAACGATCGAATCTCGCCGCATTTATAGAAACTATTCCGGAAAATACTTAATGCCGGTTCCAGTGCACCTTGATTTCTTGCATGAGACCAAGTTTTACGTACCAATAATAATTGAGTAGCGGTCAAATTTAAACTACTACTCCTATTTCGCATTAAATCGCGACCTGATAAAGTTTCTGCAAAAAAAAAAAATGATTTAATTTAATTTAATTAATTACAAATTTGGGTGAAATGAAAGATATCTGAAATTTCAGCGATAAATTAGCTTTTAAATCCAATGCAACTATTATAATATAAATATATTTTCAAATTTATTTTGATATGAAAAAACTATATTTGTTACTAAAAAAATGAAAATAATAATTGAAAAAATTTTTGAAAAGAAGAAAGGTAAAAAAGTTATATTAAGATTAATTATCAATATGGATTAAAATTTTAGGATTAAAAACTATTCCATATATACACTTTTCAGTTGATCTCTCTTTGAGTATTTTGTTCTAAAATAATTATAATTAAAAATTTGATTTTAGACTTCTGTTTTCTAATCAATATTAGTTTGATATAAAAGAATAATGCGATGAAAGCAGGTGGTTGCCACCTTGATATTTTTAAACTTTTTTCAGTTATTTTAATGCTTCTAATTAGAATTAAAAAACTCAATATTATAGATCATGTTATCATCAGAGATATTATCAGTGAATAAGTTCAGAGAAAAATTTCAGTTATCAAAAAAAAAAAAAAAAAATTCAACGTTTATATTATTTTAAATTCATGTTTATATAATTCTCAAATTACAATTTCATAGTTTCAAATTAATTCATCCCTTCTTCTTCCTTTCCCAAATCTTTTTTATTATATTTGAATTTCTCTCATTCTCTTTCTCTTTCAAATAATTTCAACTAAATAATCGGAAAAAAGCACGGCGGTAAGTGACTCATTTATTAGTAAATTGAAATGGACGACTGATTGAATGGAATGTGCTATTTCTAGTTGAAGCACTGAAATAGTCTTAAAGCTAATCTGACATTATGCTAATTGATCAATTTTATGTGAAATCAATATAAGAATTTAAATTGAAAGCACATACAAAGCTAATTTCAATTCTTTTTCATTTCAAATATTGTCAAATGTAAGAGAAATCCTACATCGAAGATCAAATTAATGCATAAATTCGAAGCGCAAAAAGAAACGAATAATTTAGCTAAGCATAAACAATTACAAAAGCGCTAAAAGCTAAGGTTAACCATTTGAAGTGTTTTTCAAAATTGTGAATTATATGTAAATTAATCTTTGATTCACTTTACTTCATGTTAAGTTATCACATCTACCTTTGTGCTAGGTGTTAAGATAAGATAAAACAGTAATTTGTTTTTTAATTTCAGATCATTTCATTCCATAAAAAAAAACTATCAAATCATATGAAAATGATAATGATAAGAAAGATAAATCAGTGGAATAGCTGGAATGAACTTTACTTTACTTCGTGTTAAGCTTTCACAAAGAATTTATTTTAATAAAACGACGTCATTGCACCTTATTAATTTGAAATGTCAAAGCGGAAATGACCTGGCTGTGAGCAGGTGTGAAGTGAACTACGTGAATGATACTAAAGCGGAAATGACCTGGCTGTGAGCAGGTGTGAAGTGAACTACGTGAATGATACTAAAGCGGAAATGACCTGGCTGTGAGCAGGTTTGAAGTGAACTACGTGAATGATACTAAAGCGGAAATGACCTGGCTGTGAGCAGGTTTGAAGTGAACTACGTGAATGATACTAAAGCGGAAATGACCTGGCTGTGAGCAGGTGTGAAGTGAACTACGTGAATGATACTAAAGCGGAAATGACCTGGCTGTGAGCAGGTGTGAAGTGAACTACGTGAATGATACTAAACCGGAAATGACCTGGCTGTGAGCAGGTTTGAAGTGAACTACGTGAATAATTCAGTTTGCCTCGTTGGCGGTGATTGTGTCGCTCCATCAGACTGTCATTGTTAAGTGATTTCGATATTTGTTGCATACTATCTGCAAGAATGAAACGAATGAAAAATTTTCGCATTAAACAATTTATTGAAATTTTTGAAGAATTTTCTCGATTTTATCGATTCTTTTATTTCATTCAAATTGAGAAAATTCTTTGATAGAAATTATTTTTTTTCATTTCAATAATTTAAAATGAAAATTAAATGAAAATCAAACTTTTTTTTTTTTTTTGTATTATAAGAGAGATATGATAGTCAATATTTAATGTTCAAATTATTCAAAAAATGTTTCAAATAAAAAAAATTTTTTTTTTTTGGATCATCAAAAAAAAATTTGCAAAGTTTTTTTTTCAGCAATTATTTTAAAAAAAAATGAATAAATAAATAACTCTGAATAAATTTTTAAATTTTATAATCACTGTCACTGTCAAATTTATATGATGCAAAAATGGAAAGTTACAATGGGAGTAAATTATAAAAGAAATTAATTACAAACAAAGACATTTGTCTTTCTCTTATAATATTTCAAATTATAATTTTGAAATGAACAATTTTTTTTTTCTTTTGATTGTTTTCTTTCACTAATAATAATAGTATTTAAAATTTAAAAAAAGAAAAAAAAAGTTAAAATTGGCGATTATTTCATCAACAAATGCTATTATTAACTAACAATTCAAGAAATAATTTATAAAAAAAAAAAAATAAAATTTTAGCGATGATTAATTAGTGTTAGTTTCTAGAAGAATTTCAATTCAATTATATTTGATGTTTTTTTAAAATTGATTGAAGAAGAAGAAAAAAAAAACGAAGTTCGAAAAAGATTTAATACTTTTAAGAAACTTTTCAATCAACAAATTAGCTGTGAAGTGATATTTACTAAGTAAACAACAATATTTGAAAATTTCAATCAAATATATATTTTATTAAAATTTGCAAAAAAAAAAAGTGCTTATTTCATCTTTGGCAAATACATAAATATACATTTCTAATCAGTAATAAATCATCTTTGCAAGAAAGTAAAAAGTTAAAAAAAACTGAACCAACAAATAAGTATTATATATCAGAATTTGATTCCGACTTCGATTCCGGTTCCGGTTCTCTCTATTTGCAATCTATTTGTTTGTAAAAATACTAAAATGATCAAAAATTGAAAATAATTTAGCTGAAGGTGAAGCGAAGATGGAAGTTCATACATCCCTAAGGCATTTCGAGCGCTAATGACGAGAAGCACTTAAGCGCTTTTTCTTTTTTTTTTTGAGGATGACAAAGTGTCCTTCGTCATTCATTCATTAATGTCTAAAAGGCGACACTCTCTGAGTGCATTAATAATAAATTGAATTACCAATCTGTAAATTAATGCATTTTGTGAATGAATTAAACAACAAAATAGTTTAGAAGTAGCTATTTTTATCAAATAATACTATTAAATTACTTATTTGTAACAGAAATATTCAAATTTAAAATTGAAATTAGTAATTTAATAACAACAAAATAGTTTAGAGTAGCTATTTTTATCAAATAATACTATTAAATTACTTATTTGTAACAGAAATATTCAAATTTAAAATTGAAATTAGTAATTTAATAACAACAAAATAGTTTAGAGTAGCTATTTTTATCAAATAATACTATTAAATTACTTATTTGTAACAGAAATATTCAAATTTAAAATTGAAATTACTAATTTAATAACAACAAAATAGTTTAGAGTAGCTATTTTTACCAAATAATAAATTAAATTACTTATTTGTAACAGAAATATTCAAATTTAAAATTGAAATTAGTAATTTAATAACAACAAATAGTTTAGAGTAGCTATTTTTATCAAATAATACTATTAAATTACTTATTTGTAACAGAAATATTCAAATTTAAAATTGAAATTAGTAATTTAATAACAACAAAATAGTTTAGAGTAGCTATTTTTATCAAATAATACTATTAAATTACTTATTTGTAACAGAAATATTCAAATTTAAAATTGAAATTAGTAATTTAATAACAACAAAATAGTTTAGAGTAGCTATTTTTATCAAATAATACTATTAAATTACTTATTTGTAACAGAAATATTCAAATTTAAAATTGAAATTAGTAATTTAATAACAACAAAATAGTTTAGAGTAGCTATTTTTATCAAATAATACTATTAAATTACTTATTTGTAACAGAAATATTCAAATTTAAAATTGAAATTACTAATTTAATAACAACAAAATAGTTTAGAGTAGCTAAATTTTTACCAAATTGTAAATTAAATACTTATTTGTAACAGAAATATTCAAAATTAAAATTGAAATTACTAATTTAATAACAACAAAATAGTTTAGAGTAGCTATTTTTACCAAATAATAAATTAAATTATTTATTTGTAACAGAAATATTCAAATTTAAAATTGAAATTAGTAATTTAATAACAACAAAATAGTTTAGAGTAGCTATTTTTACCAAATAATAAATTAAATTACTTATTTGTAACAGAAATATTCAAATTTAAAATTGAAATTACTAATTTAATAACAACAAAATAGTTTAGAGTAGCTATTTTTATCAAATAATACTATTAAATTACTTATTTGTAACAGAAATATTCAAATTTAAAATTGAAATTAGTAATTTAATAACAACAAAATAGTTTAGAGTAGCTATTTTTACCAAATAATAAATTAAATTACTTATTTGTAACAGAAATATTCAAATTTAAAATTGAAATTACTAATTTAATAACAACAAAATAGTTTAGAGTAGCTATTTTTATCAAATAATACTATTAAATTACTTATTTGTAACAGAAATATTCAAATTTAAAATTGAAATTACTAATTTAATAACAACAAATAGTTTAGAGTAGCTATTTTTATCAAATAATACTATTAAATTACTTATTTGTAACAGAAATATTCAAATTTAAAATTGAAATTAGTAATTTGATAACAACAAATAGTTTAGAGTAGCTATTTTTATCAAATAATAAATTAAATTACTTATTTGTAACAAAAATATTCAAATTTAAAATTGAAATTACTAATTTAATAACAACAAAATAGTTTAGAGTAGCTATTTTTATCAAATAATAAATTAAATTACTTATTTGTAACAGAAATATTCAAATTTAAAATTGAAATTACTAATTTAATAATTTAAAATTACTCATCATTTTTCATACAAACATAACTATGTTTTTGTTTACATCACATAAAACTTTATAATATTCATGTGAGAGCTATCAAACGATCTGTTCTGTTTCTATTTAATAACTTAAGCTTTTTTAAAAAAAAAAAATATATATATATTTCAATTTCTATTTCAATTTTCGAATTTAGTTTTCAATAAATCGTAATTTTCATTTCAGTTTTTAATTGATAATTCAAAAGTATACATTAATAATTTAATTAATTTAATTTTAATTTAATAATTTGACTTCATATGCCTTGAATTACCATTGTTATTGTATGTTGAAGCTTAGGTACGATTAGATGGCAATAAAATTTGTTAAATTAATTTGAAAACTTAAACGTTTTGTTTGATTTTTGCAATAGAACAATTTAGTAAAAAGTAAATTCTTGAGAATTTATATGATAAAATTAACATTTGATTATCAAAATTCAGTTCCTTAAATATTTTATTGAACTTTTGAAGAGAATAAAAACATTCCTATCAAAGTTATTAAAATTAATTGCTAGAAAAAGAAATCAAAGAAAGATTGTCAACTATCAACTAAATAAGTCACAGAAATTCAAATATGGCAAAAATTTTCCAAAAGATTTTAATAATTCATAAATGATATTTTGATGACAAATTATAAAATATAATTGAAACAATCAAATTCAATAATTTCTTTCTCTTAAATGCATCTTATTTGATAAATTTTTAATAAACTTTGAAAAGTTTAAAGTTCATCAAAAGTTTATTAAAAATTTATTTTTTGAAGAGTTTAAAAAAATAATTTAAAATTTTACTTTTTTTTTCCTCAATTAACCAACTGGCTGACAATGATTTCCTTTTATTCATTGTTTTAGGTATTAAAACAACAACAGGATTTTCCAGTATTGGTATTTCATTATCGTTCTGTAACGGAAATTCTTTCCTGAAATCATATACAAATACAATTATTCCAGAAATTTAGTAATATTAACGGATGGCTTTCTCTTTATCAATTAGTAATAATTCAATGTATTTCTTTTCATGTTTTTCTTTTAAATTTTCATAAAAAAAAAAAAAGAAAAAAAGTAAACAAACGTTTTTTGCTTCTGAAAGTTAATTACGGAACGATCATTCGTCGTCGGATCAGGAATTTTTCTATCGAATATACGAACACGAAATTCGAATTCGTCGAATATCTAACAAATAGAAAGATTCTAATTCTTGAATTCTTCAAATTTACTTTATCATAATTTGATGTTCTTAGTTGTATAAAAGTTACTTAGAATATCTAAGATTTATGTGAAAATTTATAGATCTAACAGAAAATGTACTTTGTTAAGCGAATTAGGAAACCAGAAAACACGTCAATCTTCAACTATTTTACTTCCGGAACACGTTATTCACGTATAACATAAGGACCAACTTATTATGATAAGATCATATCTAACAGAAAATGTACTTTGTTAAGCGAATTAGGAAACCAGAAAACACGTCAATCTTCAACTGTTTTACTTCCGGAACACGCTATTGACGTATAACATAAGGACTAACTTATTATGATAAGATCATATCTAACAGAAAATGTACTTTGTTAAGCGAATTAGGAAACCAGAAAACACGTCAATCTTCAACTGTTTTACTTCCGGAACACGTTATTCACGTATAATATAAGAAATAAGTTATTGTAATGAAATGATACCGCTGCAATCAAGCGTATAACTACGTTTTGCAAGTTCAGAAATGATTTGAACGCTATCATCGTATGAACATATTGTTGAATTATTAGCAGCAATAACTGATGGAATAGTTTCAGTACTAATCGATGATACGGTGGAATTAGACGATGGCGCATATGGCAATGATCGATGAGAAGTGGAACTTATCAGCCATTTTGATTTATTCTCTTTCTCATCTATAAATTTTAAAAATAATTTAACATTGGATTAAATCTTATCGATTAGATTAGATTAGATTTGATCAGATTTGATTTGATCAGAATAATAATAATAATAAATGAATTTTTATTTGAACAGATTTAATTTATTTGAACTATCTTCTGCATTAACTGTAATCTATTCATCATTTATTGATATATTTAAAATTTTTGAAAATAAAAATTAAAATTTAAACAAAAAAAAAAAAGGAAAAGCTCACCAGTATCAATCAAATTTTCATTTGTTGAGAAATAGGAACACGTTGAAATGGATCGAAGCAATGGAATTTGTTTTGATTGATTGTGCTTTTCCTGTTTCAATGAATTATTGTTTGATGAATTTGATGAATTTCTTATAGTATTTTTTGCATTTCGATTACCCATTCAAATTTCAGTACATTTAGTTAATATTTTAGTGCTTTTAAATAAATTTTAAAATCATAAACAAATGATCAATGTATGATTTTATTCAACCATTTAATCTGAAATTATTAAATATATAATCGCAAGAAAGCAATAATAAAATGAATTTTTACTCAATTTCATTTCATCTAGCAAAATTTTCGCAAAAAAAGTGCAAAATTCACTGTAATGATTAACATTAACATTGTTAGTTTATGTTGTTTACAAAAGTAAACATTAAGCGATTCTTCATTGGTAGTTTATGTTGTTTACAAAAGTAAACATTAAACGATTCTTCATTGGTAGTTTATATTGTTTACAAAAGTAAACATTAAGCGATTGTTCATTGGTAGTTTATGTTGTTTACAAAAGTAAACAATAAGCGATGGTTTTCGAATTGAATTATTTGTCTAATTGCAACAAAAGTAAAAAGATGGACCAATTATGATTATGATAACAATTGATATCACTTAGTGCTATATCGTTATCAGTTATATCGTTATCATTCCTTATCAGTGTATCACTCTATTAGGGAACAATTTGCACAAATATCTTCATATTTTACCTAATTCAATGCATTCTTAAATTTTTAAAAATCTTAAAATTTATCAATTGGATAAAGCAATTTGATCAAATCAACTCTGATCTGATCTGATCTGGTTGGGATAATTTTTTGAAATTTTTAATAGAACTAGAAAAAGAGTAAAATTAAAGAAAAGATAAAAGTAATTCTTAAGTTTAATATTCCAAAGCATAGTAATAACTCAAATATTATTGTATTATAGCAAAAGGTCCAAAATAAATGATTGCAATAAATTCAGATCACTGATAATGAGCTAATAATAGTTAATGATAATGAGCTGAATGTGATATCAGTTGAGTAAGTGATTAGAGAAAGTTAAATTATCAGTGTTAAATATCAATCATTAATATTTGTTGATTTCTGCACTGAAAGGTTTACTTACTTGCATTGATTGCATGCATTTTTAACTAAAAAAATTTTCGATAATTTTTTTTTTCTCTTTTCGATTTGCTATGCGTTTGATAAATTCAATGATATGAACAATAATTTAAAGATTAATCGAAATTTATAAAAGTAGAAAATTATACTTAAAAGGAAATTTTAGAAAAGTGAAAATATCAGCGGTAAACGTCGGATAAGTCAATCTGATATGAGTAAACTTTTTATGATTGTCATCCAACAAAATGTTAATTTTACAAAAAATTTTAAACTGATCTTTCTCTTGTAGTGTTAACTAAACGAATGCTTTTTTACCGTAACAGTGCAAACGTTTATAAATGAACTGAAACGTGATAGCGTACGTCAAATACCTTAAGTATGTCGTAACGTACGTGAAATACCTTAAGCATAGTATAAGCACTGTTTGTTTTGAAGGAAAAGTGTATTTAGCACTGATAAATGAAAACGTTTATAAACGAATTGAACGCACTGATAAATGGCAACGTGGCAACGTAAGTGAAATACTTTAAGTATGTCGTAACGTACGTGAAATACCTTAAGCATAGTATAAGCACTGTTTGTTTTGAAGGAAAAGTGTTTTTAGCACTGATAAATGAAAACGTTTATAAACGAATTGAACGTGGCAACGTAAGTGAAATACTTTAAGTATGTCGTAACGTACGTGAAATACCTTAAGCATAGTATAAGCACTGTTTGTTTTGAAGGAAAAGTGTTTTTAGCACTGATAAATGAAAACGTTTATAAACGAATTGAACGTGGCAACGTAAGTGAAATACTTTAAGTATGTCGTAACGTACGTGAAATACCTTAAGCATAGTATAAGCACTGTTTGTTTTGAAAGAAAAGTGTATTTAGCACTGATAAAAGCTAATACAAATTGCTGCAAATTTCAATTCTTTAAGCAAATTCAAAATATCAGAATTATTTTCTAAAATAAAAAAAGAAAAAATCACAGTTTCTTTTGAAAAAGAAATGAGAAAGATGAAAAAACTTAAATTTAATTTATGCAAATTACAATGCGATAAATTCACACACACAAAAAAAAAAAAAAAAATACGTCGATGAAATGAATTTAAAATAATAATTCAAAAACAATTTTCATTTCTAAACAAGGACGAACCAAAATATCCATTCGTAAACTAATTTAAAATGAAGAAATAACATTTGGATGTAATTTTAAAATGAATGATTCGATCACTTAAAGCTTCCAATAATTTCTTTTCTTGCAATTTCCAATTAATTTACAAATTCAAATTAATGAATACAATTATTAGCGAATAAAACTTATTATTTTATTAATTAAACTCTAAAGAATTAAATAGTAGCAGCTAGAAAAAGTTAAATTTTATTTTTCTATTTAATTTTCATTTAAATTTCTATTTTTTTTTTTTTTTTTAAGAATAATAAACAGAGAAATTGAGCTTAGCGAAGCAAAAAAAAAAGGATCAAAAAAAAATTTTTTTTTTTTTTCATAGATAGTTGAAAAGAGAAAAAACAAATTTTTGAGCTTAAAAAATCAAAATGTATTTCTTTTTTTTTTTTGACGGGGGGGAAAGAAGGAGGGGGGAATTTTTATGAAAAAAGTTAACAATATGAAATAAACAAGGCTACTCAGTAGACAAATTCAATTCGTTAAATTACTAGGCACTTTAAATGAAAAAAAAAAAAGAAAAATCATTGTTAGGCATCGCTATTGCTTTTGCTTAATTCACAGACGAAAATTTCGAAAATAAACTTTTAAATCATATAAAATCTCTTTTTTTGCTATCATTTTCTACAATCAATAAAAAAATAAAATTTTTTTAAATATGCAAAAATTATTTCTTTTTATGAATTTAATAAACAATTCAAAAATTTTTTCATTCTTAATTATTGAAAGAAACAGGAATGAATAACTTAGATAGAATGTAAAGAACAAATAATTAAATTTGATAAATCCATTTGAATGTTAATTAATTAGTTGAAAGTAAAGAATAAACACAATTTTTATTTCATTTATTTTCTCGTCGATTCATCAATTAATCAATTTGAAATGAACAAAAAAGTTGTAATTGAAATTATTGAAAGATCAATAAAAGTGACAAATTTCATTTTGAAATTTTAATATAATTAGTTAAGTAATAGTAAGAAATTTAAAAACATGTTAAAAAAAAAATAAGAAATTTAAAAATAAAGTTAAATATCATAGTAAAAGTAAACAAATAACGAGTAAAGTACATTTGATAAATTATATTTTGATCAACTAAAAACGACGAAATAGATATAATCAATTAAGATAACACAATTCATTTTATTAATTGCTATTAATTGTTAATTAATTAACCTATCGACTAACATTTATAAATTTTTAATTGATTAAATCACAGATTATTTCAATTTTCCATCACTTTTTTCTTTTTTTGAAAAAAATAAAAGATTTGAGATTGAAAGAAATAAATCAAAGTTAAACTATTTGTTTTCTTTTTTTTGTAAATAAAAAAAAAATTGAAGGCGCTAAAAAAAGTTGTTAATTAAATGATACAAATTAATAAAATTCAATTTTTTTACAAAAATTTTCACTAAAAAATTTTTTTTTTCTTGCACAACGATAGATTATCATATCAGTTAGTTAGTATTTTTATCTATTCAAATGCTTCATAATACTCTAAGAAATTACTAATTATTATAATTGATAGATTTAGGTAATCAGATCTTTCTTTAAGTATTCGAGTTAATAATAGCTGTTATCATATCAATTGATCAGCTTATCATTGCCATTATCATTCATTTCCTAAATCAGTTGATAAGCTAAAAATGTGAATATTATTCACTCTAAGAAATTACCAACTAGTATAATTGATAGGTTCAGGTAATCAGATCTTTCTTTAGGTATTCGAGTTAATAATAGCTGTTATCATATCAATTGATCAGCTTATCATTGCCATTATCATTCATTTCCTAAATCAGTTGATAAGCTAAAAATGTGAATATTATTCACTCTAAGAAATTACCAACTAGTATAATTGATAGGTTCAGGTAATCAGATCTTTCTTTAGGTATTCGAGTTAATAATAGCTGCTATCATATCAATTGATCAGCTTATCATTGCCATTATCATTCATTTCCTAAATCAGTTGATAAGCTTAAAAATGTTCCTTTCTGCTTCATTTTATAAATTTTAACATTGAAAGGAATAAAATTAATTAGTTTTGTTATAAGAAAAAAAATTAACAAAAAAGAATTAATTTCATTTATTGTTAACTTTGAAGAAATTCTGTTTATTTCATTTTTATTTTTAGAAAAAGAGAGAAATTCTCAAATTCTTCCTTTTCCTTTTCATTCCTCACTCTCTCTCTCTCTCTCTCTCTCTCTCTCTCTCCTTTAATATATGAAAATATTAGAGATAACATTTAGCTCTATGATAAGATATACTTAACATCATTGTACGTAACGTAGCGTAACGTAACGTAACGGAACCTAACGTTTAGAGAAGGAAGTTTCGTTGTTAAACGAAAAAAGCAAAGAAAGATTAGACATAATTTACTGCTCAAAATTT